TAGGCTTTTGCCGTGGCTACATAGAATGAATAACTATGAAGACCAAGCAACATCTTGGATACGTGAATCTCCTTTTTGAGGATATCCCGTTGGTCCTTTGGAACCTCGCCAAAGCTCTTGTCATCCTTGCACTTGGCCTGCTTGAATTTCAGCCCATGAAACCTTTTAATCGTGGCATTGCCAGGGATCCGCGACTTTCCTGGCTGAGCCTTGGCCTTGGCTTTGCCCTTGGCACGGGCTTTCGGGTTAACTTTGGGCTTCGCCGAAGCCTTGCACTTGGCCGCTGCAGCCTTTGTTTGCTTCGTGGGCTTCTTTTTCGCTCCGGCTTTAGCCTTAGCCTTCTTGTTTTTCCTACGAGCCAGAGCCAACGACTGCTTACTCAAGCAGCCCCGTCGAAGCTTTCGAGGTTTCCAGCCCTCATCATCATCATCATCACACTCAGGCTCAGATTTTTTGTTCCGCTTCCTCTTCCTCGATTCAGCTAGAGCAAGCTGCATCGAGCGGGTAAGCACGATGCCCTCCTCCTCCTGATGCTCATGAGTCCCTGAGGCCTTCCAGGCAACTTCCACTGCAGGCTGGACGGGAACCAAGGGGCATGCTGCAGGGGCTTCCTCGTCAGAAACTTCGAATGTCGAAGACATTGAAGTTCGCACACGATCCTTCAGCTTCTGCTTCAGCTTTGCAAGCAGGTAGGCCTTCGCTTGCAGATCAGATGCTGGGCTCGATCGAGAGCCCTTCTCCTGCAAGCACGACCCACATAAACAGACATCCTTCAGAATGACCGTGCTCAGAATCTGGGCCCTTGCAGTCCTCTTCCAAAGGCTCAGGCAAAGGGAACCTCTCCCACCCAAGAAGACCCCGACTCACATGTATCGCCACACAGTACATGTCTGCAAAATCGTACACCATTCAACTCTGCTTTGAAAATACATAACCAGGAGGCTTGCAGACGGCGTCGCCGTCGCTGTCAGAAAAAACCTGCATGGGGTTCTCAGAACAGATCAAGACTATAGGGTTTAGGGTTTATAGGGTTTAGGGTTTATAGGGTTTCAGGAGACAACACTAATGACATCACCATCTTTTTCGATCCCCATGGGCTGTGTAGGACTCATAAATCCCTTGCCTCATGAACCTCTCCGTGGCAGGAGATACTCAGGCAAGCTGCCTCAGTTGTCCAACCGTGTACACATATCCGACAATCCTGTATTTTGGGCACACAAAACCGTTATATAATCTGTATTCTATAGTGCCCTTATTGGCTCAACCATTGTTGTGTCTACAAACTTATATAAGGTATAATCCCTGAAAGGAGAGCCAGTGGGATGTACAGCGAAAGGGTCTCTAGTTGACAGTGGTTCCCCAAACTCTGGACCCAAGCTTATATATACTATATGTATTGTACAATCTAGCCCGAACACCACGAAAAGCTGCCCATGCTTCCCTGGCGCTAGGGTGCTTATAAAACAAATTAAGATACCAGTGTGGCAACCGGACTCCGACATAAGTTTATATATAAGCTTAGCCACATACACTGTAGACATCTAAACGATTTTTGAATGTTCTAATTGCATGTAAACTACTCAAGGATGAACAAGCACAATTATATATAATAACCGCTAATCGCCTATATATATATACACACACACACCTAAAATACTAAATTTTACTCACCAAGAAACAAAGCTGCAAATCGACCCTGGAGTACATCACAGATATACACAATCCCTCTTATAGCCATAACATGCAACACTTTTCAATCAACAACCGGATTCGTGCAGAGTTAAGTACCCCTTTAGAGTTGAGCTCAAGAATCGAGTATCTGTACAAACCAGGGTGCTTCAAGCTGTGATTCGCTCGCGGGGACAGTATCTTGAACATCTGCAGTGGATCCAGTCAGGCCTTCGTCATTGTGCATAATACGTGCAAGCTTCGGATGCCCAATGTCACAGCCAGTATGTTTGCGGCCAGGTCTCCCGTCGGCATCGGCCGAAAGTCGCCAGCAGCAAGCCCAGAAACTTTATCACTGGATGGATCGGAAAGTCCAGAGGGGCTGTCCAAGGTAGTTGTTGCCGATGCTTCGGATGTTGCTTTCAAGGACAAGCTTTTGGAGAGCTTTGTTTCCCATTCGGTTGGCGATGGGGTCGCAGGAGTGGTAGGACTTTGGAGGCTGGGTTCCAAGGACTTACTCCTTGGCAGATCATCCTCCAAGGAAACCTGAACTTTCTTGACATCCCTGTCTAGCTCAGGCTTGTTGAAGTCCAGTTGGTTCTGCTTCCTTGTGCCAACATTCTTATACCGGATCGTGAAGCTAGGAGCACGGTGAGCCATGTCAGTAGACTTTGCCTTCGAAAGGGCAGTCCTCAATGCCTCGGTGCTATATGTAGTGCTCACAAAGCAAAGGCACACCAGCTCAGAAGTGACAATGAAAGAATGTGGCCCAGTGCTGCCAAACTGCACCCACTACCGACTGCACCTTCGGATCACGTTGGTTCTCCGACCGCTCTGCCAGGCGGCGAGTATGAAGTAGCAACTTCTTCAGCACCGAAGCCGTGGAACCGACGACTTTGTTCGGGATAATCACCTAAGCTACTCGCCCAAAGTATGTTAAGCAAGAACGATGAGTGTAGAAACGAGTACTTCTCCAAGGACTGCAAGGTTTATTTGTTGGGCGAGTCGCCGACTTCGCATCTTTCAGTTCATGAAGCACTAACTTCAGAATCGGCTTTGTGGCCAGCTCCTTGCACTTGCCAAAGGCCTTGGCAAGCGGCCGAAGGATCTCCTGAGCGGATGGCACATGTGGTTTGAGTAGCTCTATATGCTGCATGCATTTCTAAACATGTCTTATATATATCATTCGGCCGAAGTGCTCTGTTCATTCCAATGTGCTCTGCATTGATGGCTGGTTCGGTATGGCACTTCAACAGAAGAAATCGATGGGTGTCTTTGATCCGCTGGCACAAAGCATTCTGCTTTGCAAGTGCCTGCATGGGCTAGGAAGCATCACATCTGTGTTCGTCCGATGACTCATAACTCTAAACACCCGCCTTCACAAGCTCCTCGATGCATCCCTTTAGGAAAGCATTGGTCTCACCAGCAAGCAAATCCATGGCGTGAAAAAATGATCGGCCAGCTCAGCTTTCTACGACAACGATCTGTAGTGAACAACCATCTATTATAAGATGCCTGCAAGGAAGAAGCTATGGCCCATATAGGCTATATACCCTATATCGACATCCATAAGAACAAGGACCCAAAGCTTGTGTAGAGGTTTAGAAATTATCGACATCCATAACAACAAGGACCCAAAGCTTGTGTAGAGTTTTAGGAATTATCTATCATATAAGCTATAAGTTAACCTGCGTAACATAAGATGGAGGTGCCCTGCTAGATAGGTTATGTAACACTGCCCATTTACCATGCGAATCTCGTGAGCCGCCGTCTGCATCAAAACAAGTGCACATCAGAAAGCACGAACCCTGAGTGCAATCAGTAAGCACAAACCCCATCAGCTGGGTCTCAGACCAACTGCCGCCCACTGGTGGCCATCGCGACCATCATCACATGGCCGATCGAGTGAGTATCATACGACATGCAAACACTGAAAATGTATTGACCAATCCTATGTAGCCGAACAGAACCACGATACTATGCAATTCCCTGTCCCATGTCATCCTTTAAGCAGAAAGGCCTCGCCCTGCCCACTAACCCTTGCAGCCCCTCCCGCAACTCGAGACACACCAAGTAATTGGTTAGATATATATACAGGCTCTTCAGTAATTAGTCTGACCGAAGATAGGTGGTCAAACCAGGGATATCAAGTCAACCAAGGAAAGGCACACCAAAGGAGGGTACAGGTAAACCCTAAATCCTAAACTCTACACCCTGAACCTATTCCTTAAGTATGGAATTTTGGAAGATCTGGGTAGCAGGATCGGAGTGCAAACTGTAGGATCTGGCCTTCGGGTTTAGAGTTTAGGGTTAGTAGCACAATCCTACTTTTGGACGGAAAACCATGTATGAATACCATCGACGATGATTCCAAAAGCAAAGCCCTGTCTCTGAAATCGGCCATCCTAGAGTTTCAGACTACACTTGTCACAAGATTTTACTTCATATTATGCTATCTTCTGTCATATGTTACATAAAAAATGAGGCCCGTGAAGAGTTACCACCCACAACTCATCCCGCACAAGTCGTGGTTTTGGGAGCCGGAGTTTACTTCCGATGCATCTTTCTGTCCAGGAGCTGTCCACCATCGATGACTTTTTTGAAGGCGACGTGTTGCTGTTCAGGGTGTGCTGCAGATGCAAGAGCAGATTTTGTGAGTTTGGTACATGGGTAGTTTACTAAATTACGGTCCCTTTGGGGGTTCTTTTTATAAGGGTGCCGTACTATATTGGGGACCTAAAAAGGGACCCTGTTTTAGAGAACTACCCACATCTTTCTGAAGCCGGTCTTCGTTCGAGCTGCCCAGTGGCGTCCATGATGATAGTGCCGATCACATTATGGGAGTTTCCGAAAATAAGGGGTACCATATTTTGGGGTCCTTATAATAAGGATCCTACTATTTAGGGTACTATATTAGGGTCCCCTATTTACGGAAACCCACCACATTGTGTAGACGTTTGATGCCGATGCCGATGCTGAAGCTGAGTGCCCCTAAGAGCGGGCTCCTCAACACCCCCGAATCCCGAATCCTAACCCTAAACCCTAAACCCTAAACCCCAAACCCCCTAAACCCTAAACCCCTAAACCCCTAAACCCTAAACCCCTAAACCCTAAACCCTAACTTGTGGACCCGATCCGGTGCTGAGGTACGATGAGGACACCGGCAAGGAGGATGACTTTCTGGGCCAGGCGGCTTGCTAACCTTGAACCCAGAGACTCCAATATCCCTTAATTAAGGAATATACCTTAAATCATATTAGGGATCTTACTATAATTTAAGGTATGTTCCTTAATTAAGGGGTATTGGAGTCTCTGGGAACACCAAGCCCTGGATCCTTCTAAACCCTGAACCCTGGATCCTTCTTTACCTGAATTAGGGTTTAGGGTTTAGGGTTTAGGGTTTAGGACCCTGGATCCTTCTAAACCCTGAACACCCTGGATCCTGACAAACCCTATACCCTGGATCCTTCTAGACCCTAAACCCTGGATCCTTGAAAACCCTAAACCCGAAACTATTTTCCCTTCCGAGCTCCAAAGCCCAAAGGTCCTAAACCACCTCAGCCCAAGGTAGAGCTGCCAACCTGCTCTGCGGCCCGGACTATACCGGGAGCGAGCACTTCTTAGGGTTTAGGGGTTTAGGGTTTAGGGTTTAGGATTCGGGTTGAGGGTAGTGCTGACTCAGAATCTGACTTCCTTCCTTTGGGAGGTCTCGCCTGAAGCATGCTTTTGGGGAGAGGTTCAGGTAGCTCGGGGGCTTTGGTGGCTCAATGCTGCTCTAGACTCTAGACAAATCGCAAGGTTTTGACCCCAAACCCTAAACCCTAAACCCTAAACCCTAAACTGAACAAAAAAGGGGAACCCGACTGCAGAAGCCTACACCCCAAAACCCCTTAGCCTAACCTCTTCGTGATTGAATGGGTTTAGGGTTTAGGGTTTGAGGTTTAGGAGACGGATCCCCTCATCACATGCTTGCGTCAGCAGCCGTCCCAAATCACTACAGTAAAACCTGAGGAAAGACATTGTGCAGTCGGACAAAGGTGTGACAAGAAAAGGCTTCCGTTGAACCCTGCAATCGTCCGAAGCACGAATCACCAAGCCTCAACCGCAAACCCTAAGCCCCATAACCGTCAACCCCAAAAGCTGAACCCCTAAACCTTTAAACCGTAAACCCTAAACCCTTAAACCCTAAACCCTATAAGCCCTAAACCCTAAGCCCTAAACTCTAAACCCTAAACCGTAAAAAGGGGCTAAGAACCCGAAAGCCACGACTAAAACCCCCAACTCCGAAAGGCGAGGATCCCGGAAACGCCACAAGGAATCCCAAAGCCTCATCTGACGATTTAGTTTAGGGTTGTTTAGGGGTTTAGGATTTAGGGTTTAGGGTTTAGGGTTTAGGGGTTTAGGGGTTTAGGGTTGGTTAGGGTTGTTTAGGGGTTTAGGGCTTGGTGGGGTTTAGGGTTTAGAGCTTAGGGGGTTTAGGGTTTAGGGCTTAGGGGGTTTAGGGCTTAGGGGGTTTAGGGTTTAGGTTTAGGGGTTTGGGGGGTTTGGGGTTTAGGGTTTGGGGGTTTAGGGGTTCGGGTTTAGGGGTTCAGGGGTTTAGTGTTTTAGGGGGTTTAGGATTTGAGGTGCTGCCCAACGGATTCCGTGGCGAACTCCGTTTGCGGAAGACGAGTGCGGATGGCTCAGCCCCTCGAACTCGCTTCTGCCATTTTTGTTCTTCAGGGGTTCTTAAGGTTGAGTGTTTAAGGGTTACGGGATTTAGGGTTTAGGGTTTAGGGTTTAGGGTTTAGGGTTTAGGGTTTAGGGTTTAGGGGTTTAGGGTTTCATAGACATAGACCCTAAAGAACCTAGCTTTCTAAGAACTCATATCAAGGAACCCTAAACGGTAGGTTTCTTAGGGTAGGGTAGGTAGGTAACCCTAGGGGTCCCATGTACCTAAATAGTATATACATTGGCTCTAAAGTACCTATATATAGGGACTACTTAAAGTAAGGCTTGCCGAAAGCATCCTTAACCCTGAATCCTCCACCTTTTCGGCTGCCGGGGTTCGGCTCCCAATTTGCGTGTCTGGGTTTAGGGTTTAGGCTTTAGGGATTTAGGGGTTTAGGGTGTAGAATTTAGGGTTTAGGGTTTAGGCTTAGGGATTCAGGGGTTTAGGGCGTAGAATTTAGGGTTTAGGGTTTAGGCTTAGGGTTCACGGGTTGAGCGTGTAGAATTTAGGGGTCTAGGTTTTAGGGAGCTGTGTTTCTTGCTACAGTCTGACCCTATACATGCAGCACCCCATATGCTGATCCACGTAATGTCCAGCATAAACCCTGAGCCCTACCCTAACCAAGCCCGAAACAAAGAGATGTTATGACTCTAGAAATCCCAAGCCCCCGAAACCAGAACCGCAAAAATCACGAATCCTGCCCCTCCTCCAACAACAACCTGTGACCTCAGACCCCGTAATTAGAGGGTAGAACCCTTAAAACGGCAGGTTTCTGGATCCCCAGGGAACAGAAAAAACCGACCCTGAACCCTCGTCTTTGTCCTTAAGCCTTCAAGGGAAGAGCGGAAGTCCACTAGCCCAGGGTTTAAGGGTTTAAGGGTTTAAGGGTTTAAGGGTTGATGGGTTTAAGGGTTTAGGGTTTGAGGGTTGTAGGGCTTTGGGTTTAGGGTTGAGTTTTGGGCGAAACCCGAAACCCCCAACCCACCAGATATTCCCTAAAGTGTAACTCTTGTCGACCTGGTCTTAGCTGTAGTCTCCATTGTACCTCTTTTTTTGGGCTACCTTTTCAGATGCTAACTATAAATGGTTAGGCCAAATTAAACGGTTCCTACAATGGAGACTCTTGGTAGAGACCCAAAAGCCCTGAACCCTAAACCCTAAACTCTGAACCCTCACCTGGAAACCTCTACGTACTCTGACCGCCAAACACTTTAACCCTAAAGCGGCAAAGCAGTTACACCTTTCAAGGGGCTCCTTTAAAGGGTTCTATATGGGCTACTATAAGGGTTCTATAAGATATGCGTCAAGGGGTCCTGTGTACCATGATACCTCGCGGGAAAGCGCCCAGGACAGGCCAGAAGTTCAAGCTCCGAACCCTAGATCCCAGTACGAAAAAGACCCCTGTACTCCACATACTTCCAGCCTCATCCCAGGACAGTCAAGAAGCTTACCTCACAGTGGGGGTCACTATCCTCGATAGCCGCCACGACCCAACTCCGCACCCGATCTGCGACAGGGGAGGGAGGAGGGGGGTGTTGAAGGGATGGTGTTGATGATGACAGGGTGCAGTGTTTCCGGTGTTTTTTGTTGGTCAGTCGGGTGTGGTAGTAAGAGGTTCAGCTGCTGCAGGGATTACCACATCCCGGCTACAGATGTCAAATCAGACCTGAGCAAACTGAAATCTGACGCCCAAAGCCTGCTTCAAGCGCACGCAAGCAGGGATACTTAGGCATGATATTCCTGCAATAAAGCTAGCTGTTGTATGTAGCGGTTCAACTAAAAAGCAAGCCTGAAAGCTGGCAAGCAAGGACAGATACCACACACACACCCACACACACACACACACGAACACTCTCTCGCAGAGAGAGAGAGAGACAGAGAGAGAGAGAGAGTGCGAGACACACACGCACAAAGAGAGAGGTGCAACCACCACACCCCAAGATGCATCAAACCCAGATTTTGACCCGAAGCTGGAATCCAGAACTGTAGGAATTTGACAAGGAATCCCTGGCCTTGCAACCTCAACATAGTAGGACTCATATTTATGAACCCTACCACAGTCCCGGGGCTTCTCAGTCAGCTTCCTATATTGGAGCCCTGACAGAACCCCATAGACCCCTTAAAGGAGCCCTTAAGACCTAGGGTTTCTTAATCAGCTTCCTACACCCTAAGGGTCCATGTACCCAAATAGTAGAACATTGGCCTTAATGTAGTCCCTATATAGGTACTTTGGGGCCAATGTTCTACTATTTGGGTACATCGACCCTTAAACCCTAAACCCCTAAACCCTAAACCCTAAACCCTAAACCCTAAACCCCTACTATTTGGGTACATGGATCCTTAGGGCTTCCTACATGCTGTGAAACATCGAGAAAAAGGCCCCCGCGAGCAGACATGCCGCAGCTCTTTCGCGTCGAAATCCAGCGCCTAAGAGGCAGTGAAGATATATTAATATTATGTATAACAAATTATAGTAGGCTTTCGGATACGGGGTAGGGGGGTTACAGAATTCTGGGTTTCGGGCAATAGGGTTTGAGGTGACTTTGCTTGACTCTCAGGCTTCGTTTATAACAGTTTCCATAACGATGCCATCCCTAACCCAATAGTGTGCCTACAGTGGGCTATTTGGAGGCTCACGCTGCGAGGTTGAGGATCCAAGAGTCCCTAGTTCAGAGCATCAAGGGCCGACATGAACCCTGCAAAGTAACTTTACCATTTCACTGTTCGTTTCGCCCGTGTGACTGCGTATGGTCGTGATCTAGTAGCTTGCAGCTTACGAACTGGTTGATTAGGTTTCACCATTTGGTAAAGATCAGGACGCACAGCAACATTGTTTCCGATCATCATTTCGATCATTTACGCGTCAGAGTTCGATGTTCCAAGACTGATAAGAGGTCACTGTAAGGACAAGCAGCATTATGCGGTTTACGAATTTGCCTAGTTTCAGTAGTCGGTACATCAGAACTTATACCAAATGCATCGGTAACGAGAGAAGAAGACTGCATTCTGTAGCGAGCAAAGACGTATACCGCCTGCAGGAAAACAACAATTCAACAAGGATTGCCGGCAAAGTGTAAGTTGCAACTGTTCTATTTGTTGGGGCCAGTAGATGGGATATACAAGGGTGTGGAAGCCACGTACATGAGTTCAATAATTACGAAGGACGCAGTGCGTTTTCGTCAAGCAATGGCGGGCTTGAAAGGACATGGTACATGGTAAGTTTTTTTTAGATCAGCAAAAGCTGCGAGGGTCGTAAATGTTTAAGCATTCTGGCGAAGTGGGTTTGCAAGAGCAGGGGATATGTATATATATTAATATATATATATAT